ACAGATACCAAAATGACACAGCTCGTACATATGAAAAACCCTCAAAACCTCCAATGAATAAAAAAAACAATTACATTTTTTTATATTCTTTTCAATATCCATTGTGATTTATTTCTTCAAATTTTCCTTCCTGTTTTGTTGGTTAGTTCTTTTTTGGTTTTTATTTCTTTTCTGTCTTGTGTTTAACTTCTTTCAAACGTCACCATACATCGTTTATGTACCGCTATCTTTGTGTTTTAAATATATTTGGATTTATCACTTAACAATTTCTCTGGATAGTGCTTTAAATAACGTAAAATATTTGCAGCTTCAGTATTTGTTTACGTTTCAGTTCACACAATCCATTTAGTAAATACAAACGATTCAAATGCGCAACACTAATACATACATATACAGATCAGCTCGTATGTGTTGCTGCAAGTGCTGTTTCGTCTCGTTTCGTTTCGTTTCATCTTTAGCGACATGTAGTACATAATTTACAAAGAGTGAGTTCTTGTTGTTGTTGTTTTTATATTATAATGTCAAAGTTTTATTGAAATATTAATTAAAATTAGTTTACTTAGAGCTACTTAATTGGTTGGTTTTCATTAGGTCTCAGTTTATTTTCTGTCTTTTTTTGTTGTTTTTCTATATTTTCTAGCTTCCTTTTATGTTCTTAAGTGTTGAAGAATTTTTACTTTGTTTTTTACTTATAATTTTGATTTCCTAAAAATTTATTTAAATTATCTTAAATAAAATCTTTAATTTAGTACTAAGTATTGTAGTTAATTTCAGAGATATTTTTCTGTTTGATGTTACAGTTCTATACAGTATTCAATTAATCTACATATTTACAATTGTTTTTAGCATAAATTAGCCGTGTTGCATGTTAGTTGAAAAATACTCATCTTTAAGACGTTTAAGTGAACAACTTGGAGCAAAACTATAGATATTCTTATACACAAGTATACAATTGACACACTTACACAACTATATTTGATATGAAAGACTTGCACACACACACAAATACAAAATTGCGAAGACACCATAACAATTAGTAAGTATTTTCTTTTGTGAAGTGCGTTTTGTTGTTTCGACATAAAAATTGACATTTCTGTTGCAAAATATTCAGGGATATTTCAAAAGGCTATGAACATAATTGCGTGTTTTTAGCATGTTTCAGCAGCAAATGTTGAGCAACACTTGTTCGAAAACTTTCATGAAAAAAGAAAAACCAAAAAACAAAAAAACTTTAATTCCTATGATTAACAAAAGTGGTGTAGTCACTGCATGTGAAATTTTTAAGTTTATCTCAATTCTTTTACAACATGTTGTAGGACGAAATGTTGCGCAATATATTTGTTGCCAAATACTATTACAACTTTTGTGGCAAAAGTAACTGTTTCTGTATGATAAATCTCTCCATTTTCAAGATGACATGCTCAAGAAACAAATGTTGCGCAGCATGTTGACATAAATATTAATCAGTATAGTAGAAAAGTTTAAAAAATGTATTTTTAAAAAACATTCCATATTTTGATTGATTCGATATGGAATAAAGGAATTTATATTTTCTGACACATTTGGTTATATAGGTTAGGTTAGGTTAAACTGGTAGGCAATTAAGTCACGCATAGACCTTTATGATACAAGATGGAGTTCAGTTCCTAGGTCCAAGAGAAGTGATCGTCCTTTAAGATGCCTGCGCCTGCGCTAGCCGCGAATTTTAACAGACTCTGCGGCCTTACTATCGGTACCTCCTACAGTGTATCACACCGTGGGGACGCCAGATACTTACAGCAAAAAATAAACACTAAAAAAAATTTTTCGATGTTTACTTCAGTTTTTCAACTCATAGGAATTTCAGAAAAGTTCATAAAATTGAGTTTTGGAGAAACGCCATGGAAGAAAAGTTTCTAGAAATATTTAAAGTTGTTTTCATAATTCCATAAACAAAAAAAAAAAAAAAAAGCAAACAATTTGGTATACAAAACGGTTGTCTTTCGGCAAGATAATCCATCCATCACTTTGCTAACATTACTTACACTGTCTGTGGGAAATATTGGCATACAAAATTTACAATAAATTTAATTAGTAACTATAATTTGGAAATATTGTAGTTTGCATGCGTGCTAAAAATTTCTTGATAAAATGTGCGTAAGTATGTGTGCAGTGCCAGTATAGCGAATTGAATGCTGGAAGAAGTGAGTTGAGTTATGCCATTGCGAAGTGAATGCCATTTTTGGCCGTCTACTTTCATACATATACCCACACATATTTGTGCAAGTTTGTTGTGTTCGCAATTGCTCTTGATTAAATTTTTATATTTTGTTTTTAAGAATTTGACGTTTTATATGAGCTGTTATTCATGGAATGGAAAATTCGCAACATATATTATTAGTATATTTAGCTACATACCTATTTATATTCTTACATAGAGATCTGTTTATTTACAATATTTTACACCTTTGTACATTATGCATTTCTCGTTTTCTCTTTGTATTTGTTTTTTTTTTTTTAATTACACAATCTGTTCCTCAAGTAATTATTTATATAATTATGAAATTTACACAGAAAGGAACATTTAAATAGTAATATACTATCAAGTTGGCTTTCAGATTGCATACATATATCTCAATTCCCCTTTTATCCGTCGGTAGCGTAATGGAGCTTTAGTCTGGGTCTATGGTAATATTCAAGGGACTCTTTGGAGCACAGTTGGCGTAAACTGTGAATTTGTTCTAGAAACCCAATTAAAGTCTATAAATCATTTTGTATTTGTTATTCAGCTAAAATGATGAAGACTTTCAGATATTGATGGCGGACGTGGAATATGGAGCTCCTCGAGTAATTATGTATTTGATTCTTTGAATTCGCAGAACTTATTGAAACACCGTGTTTATAGTCATCTATAATGCGAAATAGCTTGAGCGATAATTTTTAGACACCCAACGTCGTAAGTTGGAGACAGAGAAATATATATTTTTAATTAAATAGATAAAACTAATTAGTTAGGGCCTTAGTGAAAACGTTTCAATGTTATCACGGCATATAATATATCGTCACCAAAAATGTAAAATAACGTAACATCACTTTTCGTATGTTTAAAGGCGACGGAAAAACGAATAATAGAAACCACTCACATGGAAACAAAATTTGAGTTTTGGTTATATATTGGTTATTTCATCTGAAAGAGATTTTCGATTTTGTTTTTTAAGCTTTAGCTTAAATTTTAGGGGATTTTCTAATATTCGAAATTACTTTGAATTCCAAAACCGTTACGAAATGTGGATACAGTAGTGTTTATGACTTTGGTCCCGTAAATCTAAATTCATTAGGCAGAAAAATTACATTTATTTTTGCTTCGAAAGAGTAGTACAATTTCACTTACGCGCTGAGCCAGATCGGCTATGTCTTTAACCCAGTTTTGATAGAGCTTTGTGATGGTTTCCAACAAATTTATATATTCAATTGCATGACGGACTTTTATTCAATAAAAAAAGTACAGGAATGAGTACGTTTTCTGATCTTCGGACGCACAAGGAGCGCTTCACTCAGGTCTTATCATAAACACTAGAAAAAAATACCGAAATGAAAACGAATTATTTGTTGTTCCATAATTGTGTTATTGAACGCTATCTAATTCTTTCCAATAGATTTTAGCTTAATTCCAAATGTATTTTGTGGTTTAGCTTGTATTGTGACACTTAATTATCTCAAACGCATTCAGTTCTTTTTTAGAGTTTTGCAGTTTCGCTATTCTACAGCGTCTTTCAATTAGTTGTGATTTTTTTCAGTAATTTGCGGTTTTATATTCGACTTTATACATATCTAATATGATTTTTTTTTTGTAATTTCTTGAAGATATTTATCTTATCTTAAGATATTTAAGTACTACGCGCCTAAATTTTACTTCCTATGCATTTATCTAATTATTTTAATTGCCTAAGTATTTGTATTTAAATAACTTGCCTAAGCACTAGAATTTAGAAAAAGTAATTAAGTTTATATACATTACTATTATATATAATCCTCTGCTATGTACACTTATCCCACGGCCTTAAATTGCTGCCTTTCCTAGTAATCCTAGTAATAGACCTGACCGTACTGAACTTTAGCACCGCTTCGAGCAAACATGTTTTGAGCGCATAAAAACTTTCTAAAATTTCTTTAAATATTTGTTGCTGTGCGACAATTTTTTAATAATTTCCAAAAAAGTAAAATTTGGCATACGATCAAGAGATTTAATGTAGCATTTGTGACAAATTTTGGAAATAATACTAGTATATAAGTATTAGATATGTGAATCGCGTTAGTAGCTCAAGCGAAAATTATTCAGAGTAATTATTGTTTTAATGCGCATTCAGTTTCTATTCAATTGTGAGCAGTCAATTTCTTAGAGAATTCCTTGGCGCACTCGTTGCGTATACGCCATGTTGGTTTAAAACCATTCAATATGTGCTTTTGTGATATGTAACACACTTTGCTTTAAAATTTTAGAAATCGCATGTGAATTTTAAAACTATTCATTTATTTATTTATGAAATAAAAAATAAATATAAATATGAATTATTAAATATTAAATATTAGACATTCTTACATAACTGCGCAATCATTACTTTTATTGTCTATATCTGTGCCAATGTTAATAACTTTTCTTTCATGATATGTGTGCGCATATTACAGATTTTCGTTAGAAATCCTCTGTTGAGGATTTGAGAATTTGTTTTAATATTGATAAAATTTAATTTTTAGTTAAGTGTTTAACTTTTTGCATTTAACGTGGTTTTTAAATACTATTTGTTTACCCGCTGGTTTGATTTATGCAATAAATTTTTATGAATTTCAATAGTAAATTATAAAGTATTTAATATTTAAGAAACTATTTTTTATAAAATAATAATGTTTTGTCGTTTAATATAAAATATATGAGAGAATTGTAAAAATGATTGAGATTATAAGCAAAATCCGTTAAAAAAATATTTTACCATTTCAAAACTGAGTTGAATATCTGCGAATATTAAATTTGCAAATTTTTATTTCGCATTGCGCCTGCTTGTAGGCAACAAAAGACGTAAAAATGTACGGACAGAGAGCAGGCATTAGAAAACTCGAATCGGAGAACTAAGGAATAAGGAATAACAACAATTGAATTATGAAAATTACTTGTTAGTTAAAATTAAGCGTTATGATTAAAAGCTAATTGAAGGATTAAATACAAAAACAACTCACACAAAAAAGCTTTTAAAAACAATTGCTTTAATCTCAACGATTTTCTATATACGAATAAACTACTACACGCGCAACTCACTATATCATTGCATCAGAAACCCAATCAGACCAATTTAAATGTATATATAACTTATACTTTTCCATTTCTCACAACTCATACCCAGTTTCTTGCGATAAAATTGAATCCCGAACAGGCTTCAGTATGCCTGAAGCGGGCCATGCGCCTGCGCCACACGCTTTTAGACACAACTCTCCTGCTGCGAGTACATAAGCGGCGTTCGTACCGTCACAATTTCGCGCGAATACGATTTGCCAATGGCCGAGAGACCGGACAGCGAACTGCTCGGGCTTGTCACGGCCGCTGTTGTTGTAGCCGAGCCCAGACCGCTGCTATTACTCGACACCAACATTTGACCGGTGACTTGCTGTTGCTGCAATTGCTGTTGTTGCTGCTGTTGGTGTTGTTGATATGTGGGCGGCATTGGCAGCGTGCCATGATGATGATAAATATTGCCACCAGCGCCATGCACCACGCCCGCAGCCGCCATCATTTGCAGCATCGACGAGGCGGACGTATTGTGTTGCTGATGGGCTTGTTGTTGTTGTTGCTGCTGCTGTTGTTGTTGTTGCTGTTGTAGGTGTTGCTGCTGCTGTTGTTGCTGCTGCTGCTGATGATGATGATTGTGCGGCAGCGTATGATAGCCGCCCGGATGCGAGGGCATTGTGTACATCTGCACCGCGCCGGGCGACACCGTCGATGGTGTGCCCTGTGAGGCGGGCGAAGAAATGCTTGGCGGGAAGGGCGATACGGAGGCCGATGACGAGCAGCCAGCATTTGGCGTGCCACCCGTCGTTGTTGTTTTGTAGTGATCTATCTGCGCGTATATCGTCGGCTCTTCAAAGTAATCGTACGATGGTGGTGGTGGTGGTGTTTGTTGCGCTGACGCCGTTGGCTGCTGCTTGAGGCGTTGTAATGTGCTCGCACCGGCATTGGCCGGTATGTTGGGCAACATCTTGCGTACGCTGGAGCCGTGCGGCAGTGTGCCGCCGATAGTGACGGACATGTTGTTTGTATTTATGCCGGCGCCTTGTAGCAACATGCTGCTACTGCAATCGACCGAAATGGACTTTTTCGGTATGCCACTGGTGCTGGCGTTGCCGGGCGCCAGTGTTAGCTCAGCATAGTGCAGCTCATCATCCTAAAATGAAAATGGAGTTTGGAAAGTCTTAAAAATATTTTTCATTACAGAGAGCTATGACTGTGTGGGGTGATAATAGGGATAATAGATTCTTGTTAAACTCTACATTGTTTAATGAACCGCAGAAGGCTGGATACACAAAAAAGCTTGATGTTTGGGTGCCGCATGATTTAACGCAGAAAAACGTTCTGAACCGAATCAACGCCTGCAATATGCTACTGAAACGGAACGAACTCGACAAATTTTTGAAGCGGATGGTGACTGGCGACGAAAAATGGATCACATACGACAATATCAAGCGAAAATGGTTGTTGTTGTTGTTGTAACGGCAGAATTCTGCCGAGTTGACAGTCCTTGGCCGGATAAAAATCCGAGTCCGTTGCGGTTTTCGTAGGCCCGACTGTCATGGGAACGGAAGCGAAAATGGTCGTGTAGGCCGGTGAATCGTCCCAAACAGTGGCCAAGCCGGGATTGACGGCCAGGAAGTTTTTGCTGTGTGTTTGGTGGGATTGGAAGCGAATCATCCACTATGAGCTGCTCGCATATGGCCAGACGCTTAATTCTACTATGAACAACTATACCGCTTGAACCAAGCGTTCGATCAGAAGCGTCCAGAATTGGCCAACAAGAAGGGTGCAGTGTTCCACCACGATAACACCCGACCACACATTGCATTGATGATTTGTTAGAAGCTGCGGGAACTCGAATAGCAGGTTGTATCGCAACAACCATATAGCCCGCCCATATAGCCCGCCCATATAGAACGCACTTGTTGGTGGAAAGTTGAACTCAAAAGAGGCTTGTGAAAAACAGCTGTCCGAGTTCTTCGCAAATAAGGAGGGGCGCTTCTACGAGGGGGATATTATGAAGTTGTCGTCTAGATGGAAACAAATTTTGAGAATTACAAATATCGAGCTAAACAGGGTATATGTTCAAGGTATAAAACAATATGGAGCGTGGAAAGATCGTTACGATAGAAGGAGTATAATTCTTATTCATATATTGGCTATATATTTAGAAGCGAGATTTTAAACTAAATCTCTATTATTTAAGCAATCTCTTGTTGGATCTGTAGTATTGTAACTAATCATTCTAGAAAGTGGAAGTAAAAAACTCAAGGACCCTTTGGCAAGTATTGATTACTCAGGTTTTTTCATTTCTGCGATATCCTGCACATACGTCTACGTACTTTTATCTAGTAAAAATTTGGTAGCTAACTTTTCTTTGAGAAGATAAAAGTCCGGAGCATAAAAAAGTATATGAATAAAATTACGTCAACCAAAGTCGCTTGACACTTTTCATGCACAATTAATGCAAAGTAATTCAACGAAGTTATTAAACATTCAATTTTGTTGTAAAGCAAAGTAATTAAAACTTTGGTTGATTGTCTACAAGAAATCATCCTTGTGCTAGCACGTGTAGCTACCAGCCAACTTTATCGCAGCCCATATACACCTACTCATACATCTCTACTTCTATAGGCCGCCATCTTAACACCATTGCAGCAGCATATCTTCTCAGCCATTCACGGCGTTTTCTAGCTTCATTATCGACGCACCAGTTGACGGTGTCTTTGGCAAAACAAAAACCCACCGCCAACTTGTCCGTCATTATTAGGTATGTAAGTGTGTGTGTATGCATTAGCAGGCCAACTCAAGCCACAACCGATACTGAAAAGTGTACAAAAGAGAAAGCAAATGTAGCAAAGTAAGGAGGACAAAAATAAATAAAAACTTTAGAATCTAAATCGAAATAAAAAAAGCAGGAAAAAAGTCGTAGGAGTTTCCTCAAGAGAATGATAACAAAAGCACTTACTTACACACAACATTGATGAATTAATTTTAAGACAAGAAAGCATCTACACGGTGTCTGTGCGTTATAGGAGAGCGCGCATGTGCGTGCGTTTGCTACTCACCTTGTTGCTTTTGTATGCGCCAAGCTCGTCCGTCAGTGGTTTACAGCTAATTTCCGCTTCACTTGTCGTCGACAGATGGCCGGATGGTGTTTGTGTTGCTGATTTCTGTTTGTATTCACCATCGACTGCAAAGAAAGACACGTTTTAAATTATCGCATAATTTTATGTGTGGTTGGGTGTTGCCGTATATTTATTCAGTTGCAAGTTTAGAATTTGGCTAATTTTTGAAATTTTCGAAAGCTTGCAGATTTCTAATTTTCCCATTCATGAATAATCATGAACTGAGAATGTTTGCTAAAATGTAGCAAGGTTTTCTAGCTTGTAGGTCACTTCGTAAGATAGATTTGAAATTCGATTACACAGTACAACAGCTAATCTTGGGGGTGAAAAGTCAGGGTGATGGCACTAGGTCAGTATAGTGTAGAATGCTCCTAACATCCTTGCAACAGAAACATCGTAGCTGTTAGAACAATGCTTTCCGAACAAGCCCTTTTTTGTCTTTATTTATTTTTATTTTTTATTTCTTTATTTTATTTTTTTATTTATTAATTTTTTTTTTTTTGCCAAAATGTTACAACTAAGCGAAAAAGCGTCAAGATAAGGAAAAAAGGGGTCATAAGGTCACAAAAAAAAAATCCTTTGAGGGTTTTACTATACTGACCCAGTACCATTACCCTGACTTGGAATTTCTCACCCCCCGAAAATAATCCCAAAAATGTTCCACAGTGTTCTGCGAGCAATCTCTCTATGCCCATTAAAAATGCTCAAAAAAATTATTTTATGTACATATATTCTCGTAGCACTTCATACAGCGTTTAATATTGCTGTTTCCCCAACAGTAGCTTGTATGTAATATATGATGCTCATTGAGCTTGATTCGATGATCCATAGAATTCGATTTACATATCTTACATATTTCCTTTAGCGTTACCTAAATCTTTTCCATCGCCAGAAAATGGTACAGCAGGGTTGCATGGGACTCGGTATGAAAAAATTAGTATGTGCATGGCACCACACATTTTTTGTGAAATCCCTTACTCAGTAACTATTCGTTCCTTGACTTAATTTCACTAAAATTGTGTGACTTGCTGTAGATAGGTCGGAATCGGTTCAAGAAGAACCTCATTATCTATAAGTATGCTGTTTAATACCTAAAAAGTTTTACCAATACCTAAATTTCTGTGTTTTTGGACCCATCAGCTGGCAATAGTATACAATTTGCAGCTAAGCAAGGACTTAGCCTTTCCTTACATATTAATATTCGTGTTTGTGATAATACAAGGGGAGTCTGTTTATTTAAAAATATGCTCTAATTTCTTCATTTGAGCTTTAATTTCTTTTTTATAGGCGTTTCAATGTCCTTTGACAAAGAGCGAATAATATCGGCTTAAGCCGCCTACCTTTTACTTGATTGATTTTACTGGAAGTATTTTCAATTAATTTTGACCGCACATTTCCAGAAAATGCTTTTAAAAAATATTTCGTTTGTATTTAAATATGAATGTATGTGTACCCAAGGTCCTACAGATACTGGACGTTTGACTAGCTGTGAGTCTACAACAAAGTGTTGCGTACGAATGAGTGAATATTCCTGCAACTTGTAACGCCGACAACCTTTTGGCCTACATACAACTGTGCTGTGGGCACAATCACCTGAAGCTCGTCTGTGTTTTCATTCCTTGACACACAAACATTTCGACATCTGAAATACAACAGCTCTTACCATAAGTAAAATGCTTTCTTCACTGTGTACTTTGCCGGCCAGGCATTTATCGTGATCTACTTATATGCAAATACACAAATATTTATGTGTGACGACTGTCTGGAAATGCACTCCTCCTCTCTGCATTACCAACTGTTTTTTTTTTTTTTTGCTGGTTTTGCTTACTCACCTTCATTGTATGGCACGACATCGGGATTCTTCTCGTCGTACATCTCCTCCGAATGACTTAATGGCAAAGAGATTTTGTCCTTAATTTGTAAATTGCCTGGTCGTGAGAATTTCGCATTTTGATGTTGATATTTTTGCTGTTGTTTGTGTGAACGTAATTTCAATGCTGCAATGGTGCCGATGGTAATGCACACCAATGCCACCAAAATGCCAACGAAAATGCCCACAGACAGTATGGGTGTGAGTTCGAAATTGGATTGTGTACCTTTGTAGGACGTTAGCGCAACTATAATGAGGAAGAAAAAGAGAAAGAGCATTGCAAAGATAAGCTTATTGTCAATACCACACTGCAAATGCATACATACATATGATGACCAGAGGTTAATATAAAAGTGGGAACAATGATTCAAGCACCAACAAGGTCATAGTAAAACAAGTGATTTTCAGGGATAACAAGCTGGATCGGATTTGGTCTGAAGAAGAGTAGTTTTTTGCGTTTGTATGTCTAGAGGTTGCACTGTCATCTTCGGAAATATTCCTTACAAAGTTTCTGGAAGATATCTCGTCTAATGAAATAGTTTATATACCATTATGATTCGATATCGGCGCTTCCGACAAGATTTCAGATCGATATTCCAAAAACTGAGGTAAAAGTTCGTGTATATATAGACGGTCGAACAGACAGTCGGACATCCTAAATTTACTCAGCTCCTCACGCTGATCTTTTATACCGGGTTTTCCAATAGTTATATATGCTCCGGTTCAGGTAAGTGTTACTAAATACCTCATTTTGTCGATACTAATTCGTTTTCAAGAACTAGGATTGTCTCAAACTTTGGAGAAAGTATTTGGTATTGTATCTCAACTCAATTACAACTGAAGCCATTTTACCGCCGTAAACGTAGTAAATTTACTGATTTTGCCTTGGAACAACTTGAAAGCGATAAAGATTTTTTTAAGAAAATCATCGAAGAGGCTCACTCAACAGCAGCCAATACATTCAACTAAATTGACAATTTGGTCTGGAGGGATCATCGGCCCGTACTATTTTCGAAATGAAGCTGTTGAGTCTAGTATAGAGCAAAGAGGCAGAAATTAATTGGTTAGTTGAAAGACATTTCTGCGCCAATACTAATTAAGTAAGAAATAAAATTCATTGGTAGGTTGAAATCGCTTACTTTCTGCATATATCTGCTGAAAGAACATTTTAGATAAGTACTTTGTGCCAACTGGAATTTCTTATTTTTAATATATATAAAAGTTAATTGTTTTGATTTAAAATATGATCAAACAGAATTGATTGAAACTTAGCTCTTTAAGTCTGAGCCTGGGATCATCTCAAGATTTAAGAAAATTGAAACGCTTTGCCTTTCCTAATAAAAAGCGCACTTTGAAGAAATAATTTTGAAAAAGAAATATACGCGTATCAGTTCTTCTTTTGCAAGCCAAAACTCTTTAAATTACAATATTAAAGGCAAAAGTTTGTGATGTTGTGGCGGTCGTCGTTTGCAACTTCGCCGCTGTGGCATCTAATTAGTATTGCAATTTACATTATTTTATACGCTCTTCTTTCGCACATTTTCAGCGCATTTACTTCACCATTTAGTTCTACTTTTTATATGTTTTTGCTTGTAGCTTTCTTGCAGTTTTTTTTTATTTGACTGACGCTAAGGGTTTCCGTCATTTTCATTAAACCTAATCATTTTAAATTTCCACTTCCTACAGCTATTTGGCGGGGCGATCACCTTGCAATTTATCTCCACTTCTGCCATTTGCACAACGGAACACGAACATGAATATAAGTATACCAAGATATGCTTCTATCCTTTCTTCACTCGCTCGACAGCTACTTAAGTCTCGGCAAAATCCAATTTTCTATTCTAAATTATACGCCAGCTCACTTAAGTGTACACTCAGGCGTTTAGCCGACCCACGCTTATGTGCCGCTACCTAGGCGTTTTTGCGGTCTTCACGTTTACTATCTTTTCGGACACTTTCTTCTGCATTATTTAAGGTGAAGTGCTACTTGCACAAGCAAAAAATATAATAAAAAAAAAAACCTGCGAAATAAGTATATAAGCGCATAAATTGAAATGAGTTCCAGGTTCCAATTTTCCTGAACTTCCTTTTTTCATGTTTTTGGTTTTCTTCGCCAATTTTTTTCTTGTAGCACAAACAACGCTTATAAGCTGCCAGAAGAGAAAGTGCACTGTAAATGCTACCTTTTTAAAGGGTGAAAAAAGCGGGCTTACATGAAAAATAAGCAACCCGAGAAAATGTAAAAGAATATATTTTGAAGTATCGGGTTAAACGCAGTTGGGGTAATGGAAAAGGATTGCCCACATTTTTTTTCATTTGCCCATTACACATTTTTACAAGCGCACATTTAGACGTCTTTCAATTTGCTAAGTCTGCATTGTTATGCGAGGAAAATGTCTTAATTTCAATTATGTCAGAAAAATTGGTTTACATAATTCTACATCGTTTGAATTAAATACATAAATGCCGCTTGAATTTTTAAAGAGAGCGGTTTTTGACCTCAACTCTTAATGCGGTGTACTTTACAGGAGGCAAGTCTACGAAGCTTACTACTTATTTTAATAAAGATTTTAGATTTAGGTAAGTAATGTTGTATACAAAATGAAACCGTTCTCTAGAAAACTTAAAATTTATCTTTTTAAAGAATAAAGTAAATAAAGGAAGATTCGAAAACTGTACCCAGTTTAGTTTCTTGTACACGAACAAATCGAATACTAAGAGACCAGATGTGATGTCCTCGTTTGCATTCAATGCATTTAGTAAGCACTAGTTAGATAAAGGTCTATTCTTTTAAATTGATCACAGTTGTGGCTCTAGTAAATATGTAAATTGATCAACGAGTTGTTCCGGCTTTTTCTTTCGGTTATGCCTCACTTATTGAGACTTCGAATTTATTAAAAATCCACCGCGTTATTTTATTTCACGTTAACACTTAATTTCATTCATTTTTAATAATATCCAAATAAATAAAAATAATTTCCCAAGTACCTGTTTGCTTCTCCGCCGCTTTCAGCGTATAGCCTTCCACCTGCACGGCTTCGCTACGTCCGCGTAAATTCACTGCATAAACAAATATGCGAAAGAGACGGCCAGAGTCCAGTCCAGTGACACTTAAAAGTGGATATTTTGATGAGATATTGGCTTGTAACTGGCCACTATGCTGATCGAAAATTTCCATTAGGAACCATTGCCGTAAGCCGCCGTCAAAGCCTGCATTAGAGTAAAAAATTAAATCATAGATTGGAAATAATGTCTTAGCTTAAAAAAGTTGCTGAAGCTTTAATATATATGTATGTCAGTAGTCAGTAAAAGAATTTCTGGGAAGCCTAACAAGAACTATTAAAATATTGAAAGATATTTCATATTAGATCTGGGTATGATTTTAATGACTCACAATCTATACAACTTCAATTGGTGTAAACATTTTTTGCTCTGACTCTCCTAAACTTACAAAACAGAAAATTTCCTAGCATACTATGAATTTTCCTATTATGTAAAAAAAATTTTTTTTATTGAGTTTTAAAGTTTAAAAGACATAAGTTTACCTTAGAAGAATCAAACCTAAACCATTTTGCAAATAGATAAGTTAACGAAAAAACTGTATGAGACTATTTTCTAAAGCATACCATTTCCTAAAACCATTCATAAAACAAAGTAAGGTTTAAAATAAAACCATTGGGCGGCTAACCTTTCTATTAAAGTTAACAGCTCATACTTGGAGAATCTTTCTTCGGGGTCTCCAACATTCGTTTTTTCACCACCCACCTAATATGCATAGCTAGTAAAAAATGATCGATTAAAATACAGTCTTTGTATGGTGAAGGGTATTATAGCTGCTACAATCTAAGTTATCGATTTTTATTGCTTAATGAAAAAATTGTCCTGTTTTTGGGTCTCAATAATTGCGAAAGTGTAAAATGTTCCACTACACCTGCACTTTCCGATATGCCTTTATATAATTTGCTACTCTTATTTCTATTAATTTTTAAACACGCCTTTTGCATCGATGAGTTTGTCAACTGACGCGCGATATGCATAAAGCTGAATGGAAAGCTTAAATATTTTGATTTACAGCAGTGTCATGATAAACTTGAATCAAACAAATTTCATTTGCGAGAGAAAAAGTTGAATGCAAGGAAAATAAATAAATAAATTCGTTTACATTTTTCGTAGGGACTTATACGTAGATTTGTCATACGTACATATATAAATATACAAAAACGCTGATATCGAATATCAAGCTGGCAATGCTGGTAGAAGAAAATCAAACGAAAACAACGAGAGGGAATATCAAAGTCCAAACAAAACAACTCAACAATAAGGCAATCAGCAGCAACAGAAATTTGTTCCAACTAACAACAAAAGTGCTATGCACATACAAACAGACATATATTTGTGCATACCAATACAAATAGGAAATTCAAGCAGTCAAGTCAAGTAGTTGAAGCAAACTTTTCGACTTGTTGGCCTTAGTAACCCCAAAACTCGACACTAAATCGAACAACCAAGACGGCGAACTACAATACCAACATACTGACAAACTGACAGCTTAAATGCCAACTACACGTACGAGGGTACAGCAAAGCCGTTCCTCACCGGAAAGGTAGCTACATACAGACTGGCCCACTGGTTGGCTGGCTGCCTGGTTGGAGAGCTGCTTGCCTTACACTTTGCCTTACACTTTTACATGTACGTACTACATACAAATATACAAAAGGTTGTAACAATAGCAACAAAATTATTGACAGCTACAATAAGTACAACAACACGTTGGCGAAATAGGGGCAACAGCAAGCGGGTTGATGGAAAAGAACAAGACAGTGAGTGCATACATATATGTGCATACATACATTAGAGTGGGTTGATTTACAGGGAGCTTAAAAAACGGATAAATCGCGCATGCTGAAAATGTTCTGCTAGTCTTCATGAGGAACGTTGTCTATGGATCTAAAACCGGTTTCGCGACAACAATATGTGAGGCGAGATTACTTAGGAATAATAAACATATGTTTTTCAGTTTTTCAGATGTCCGAATGAAATTTTATACGTATATGCATTTTGATAATACTTTAATTCTTTGTCGAAATCGAAACAGATCGAAAAACTTTATTACATATCTGGCCTACAACTTCGGCTAAAAAATCGTTGGTTTCAGATCCATACGACCCTTTTCAAAGCAAATATATATCTTTTCAGTATTAATTATGTATGTTCGTATGCGTAAAGCAACTAAATAACTGTAACTACAGCTCGAAGTGCAGCAAACTCATACATACATACAGACATGTACACACACATTTGCGTAACATATTCGCAAGCATATGAACTGTACCGCAATGTGGCATGAGTACCACCCTTTACACATTTCGTACGCTTACTGCTGCACCATCTGAGTCTCATTTAAAAATCATGAGCAACTTGAGTGCACTCTTGCATTATGTATGCGGCACTCACTCACACGCTCGCACACACACTGACTCACTCACATTTGAATGCAGTTTTGCAACGCTTCACATTGCACACACACACTCATAGAAATACACGTAAAACCGATTGTACTATAGCTGTGCATGAAAGTAGTTTTTTCTTTATATTTCCTTGTTTTTACCAATATTCACCAATATATGAAAGTAAGTGTCGGCATATATGTACATATGTGAAAGTTACAACATTTTCACCTTGTATGTGACAAAAATTCGTAAAAAATTGCTGGCACTAGCAATTTGTAAATGTATCTCAAATCAAATTGAGAAATCTGTGTGTATGTGTTGGCAAGCGTAAATGAGTAGTCCAACATTTGGAAAACCTGACTATGTCAAGCTGCTATATTCGTTTACAGCGCAATAATTTCTAAAACGCTTTCCCAGTGCATGCTGTCAATATGGAGCATCCTCCGTTATGCTCGGCAATATCTCACCATACCTGACCAAAGTATTTCGTGTAAAGTGCCACTTGCTCAGCGTTTCTACATTGATAATTGATATGTTGCGTTGCAGTCAGTGAATCATGCTTGCAGAGTAGTATCCATAATAATGCATGTATCAATACTTTATGAGTTCACTTGCCTACATAGCCAGTGTCATGATTCAATTAGTGAACGACGCAAAACCGTATACGTATCAGCTGACACAACCTATCTTCTGAGATCGCAATGTACTATAAATGGAAACTCACATCGCTTCTACCGTTCGTAACGAGGATGTATGTATACTAGTTTTGATCTTTCACATTATGAAAAATTTAAGCTGTAAATCTAGATGTCTGCAGAACCATGTGAACAAAAGAGAACAACAGATCTCTACCAAACTTTGATACGGACAGTTTGATACGGACAGTAATTACGAAAGGGCAGAAAGTCACTATCACTACCTTTAAATAAATTAGGCAAGCTTCCTAAAAGGATGAAAATCTTGCAAATTAAGAAAATTTTTAAACTTCGGCTTATTTGAAAACTTCCAAAGGAATAATGGATGGTGGTCAAGATACCTGATTGGTGATGAGTCCAAAGAGTTATTTAAAAAAATTTTTGCCAATCACATAATTGAAAAAAATTACTTAGAAGTCAACCGATATACAATGAATACGAGAATGGACCAATAACGCCAGCACTGCATAATGATCACACTAGAATACGCAGAATCTTTAAAGTTTAAGTCCTTTCGTTTTAGTTTGTGCTTGAAAACTTTAACCCAGCAAAAAAAAAATAGTTTTTGTTAGCTAAGGAGTCAGTATCTTACGTCTTCTACGTTGTTTTAACTATATACCATATTGTACTCCAGAACCGTAACCAAAGGAACTGAAAGAGCCATATTATCAGATTTAAATAACCGTTATGTAGAAAATGCTGTTCTCAATAATAAGAGCTGCTGGCATACTTAAGACTGACAAATCATGGCACAAAAACGAATCATGGTGCGACGAATTTTCAGTTAATACAGAGTGGACCGGACGTTTTTACTTACAATAATCGGAATCATCTCTAATGGTACTTTTTCTGGAAAGTACTTTTATAGGAAAGGTTCTAGCAAATTAATCTCTTAAAGAAAAAAATTAAAGCTTAATTGATATTTCGTAAAACATGAACCAAATTTATAATAGTAAAACTAATTAAAAATCATTAAACGGTAAAGTGTTTTGAATGTTCCTAAAACACCGGTAACTTAAACTAGTTAAGACATTTCAAACACTCATTATCTATGCTCAGCAAGTGTCCAGTTCATGCGTATTTAGTAATTTTTTACTTTCTTTTGACAAAACTTTTCTCGACTTGACTTATTCATTTACACTCTAACTCATAATGCGGTTTTATTAGTTAGTAGCCTTTTAATTAAAAGAAAATACATAACACGTAAATAAAAACACAAAAGCTGGGTGTGCGCCAGGAGTGTGAGTAAGAAAAGAAACAAAAGAAGCAAGCAAAAGTCTTAAACAACTTTGATGAGCCAGAGAAGTGGCCACTTTAGTTAATCAATCCACAGTTTTAACTTGCAGAAACTTTAACTTGCTGGGCATTCTACTTTTGCTGCGTTGTTTTCTTTATTATTGTTTTCTTTTCTTCTGTCATGAGCTTATTAGCTTAGTTTTTACAATGCGTTGCCTTTTTGTCCCGTCTAACCAACGGGGTAAAGTTAAAGCTACCTCTATATGAGCTTTGCCAAGGATTTATCAAGGAAGGTAGCAGAAAGATGAATAAGCTGAAAGTGTTGCAGCATTTTAAGTGAATATAGTAGAGTTTAAGATGACCTAATTTTTTTATTCTCCGCTAACTTAATTACGCTTGTGAGTGGTGTGTCGAAGTATAGTGAATTTCAGTATTGCTTAAAGCGAACCTGTTTTAATTATTTTTTTTTAAAGCTCTTATTATTTCAAGCAATCTGATGAACTTCCTAATTATTTTTTTCAGCTTTTACTAAAGTCACCGCATCATAAGAATTTATCACCGAACATATTATGAACTACCAAGCGACACACACAAAGGAAAATATTTTGATTCTTATTAATTATTTTTTATAATTCTTATTCAGTGACAAACATGTAAATAGCTATCGAGTTACTCTCAACTGCTTAACTGGCAACTTTTAAGTTGAAGACAAGCCTATGTCCTATAAACCCTATTGGTTTTTGATCCTCTATATATAAACAGTCAATATCATTATCCGCGTTGATGCTCCGTAGAACCATGACATGTATACATCTCACATTGAAGGAAATTCATTTAAATCTATTTATTTATATAGGTCAATATTTCTTAAAAGGACAATTCTGAAAATTCCACTTACCTTCCATACAATAGACCTCCAACGAGTCGGATGTCTGATTGAAAATGGTGCAATTCGCTGGCATTTCTGGCTTGCCAGCTGCAATCAAATGGAAGACGCAGGGCTCTCTTTGCTGACCAACATTGTTATCCGCCCAGCACATGATGGTGCCAAAGTCCATTTCCTGGAAGAGAAAAACACTTACTTAAACCAAGAAAAAGCAATAAATTCTAACATAGCCAAAACAAATGTGTGAGGTAGGAAATTATTTTAAAATAATATTGAAATGAAATAAATCTTAAATTGTATTCAACACATTTTCGAGACGGTAGAAGTATTGCATCTACAATTTCTCCAACTACCCACTGTATGTTTTACCTGTCGGCATTATATCTAGCTGCTACAATGGAAACTTCAATTTCTACTGACATGTTTTCAACAAAGTTAACTCTCGTTAACGAAGCTTTGCAGTTGATTCAATTTGACAGATGCTCGTAAAATAGCAAATTTACAAACAGAAAATGTATTTCTCTTTTTTTTCCGAAGACACATATACATAAATTGTACAACCTCGTACTTTTGTAGTTGGCAGCAGAGGCATGCGACATACATACAAATCAAAGGAAGATGCACATATACCAATGTGCGTACATACGGACATATATGCTTATATGTCGTACTCGAAGTAGTGTTCTCTGATTTTATTTATTTACAAACTCAATGAAAGACATTTATTTGTTCTGAATCTCACGCATTGCATTACAACACAGAAGCCATTTCCATTTACATATATAAGTATATTATACATACTTGTATATCATATACCACATACAAGTAATGTATTTTAGTTAAAACACATCAAACCGCACACAGTTGCTTTCATTTGCTTGCTCAGCAGAAAAAAAAATTTGTTCTACGCCGACAGGTGTGCGGTATATTTTATTATCTGAAGAATCGTGTGCTTAAGTAAACGTATAGCGTTTGATATTTTGCAATAGAAAGATACGAGAAGGTGTGGCTGGAAAGTATGTTGCATATTATTCTTCAATATTTAAGACCTGAGCAGAATAATAACTAATTTGGGAAAGATACGCTAATTTACTGTTATTAAAAATATTAAGTTTTGTGTCAGGTTGTGATTAAGAAAGATATCAGCAACAATTTTTATACTCAGAAACTGCTTTAAAGTTATATAATCGAGTCACAAGTAGAGATAATTCAAAATTAGAATGTGTTAGTAAACAAATGTTGTTCTTTCAACATATTAACAACCCCTCCGCTGAGTTTCACTTGGTCTAAAAGTCGCAGGTAAAGTAAAAGAAACTAACTCGACTGCACAATTTTAATCAGATTACATGATTACCAATTGTCGCATTGCTATGGATGAATTAATATGAAGATAGAAGAGAAGTAGAAATGCGAAAATAAATGACTGTCAATAGTAATAAATTCTGTGAGATGGCAATAGTATTAGTAAACAAGAATGGATGTTAAAATGAAAACTGAAACTATGAGTGAAACACAAGAGAAATATGCATCAGGTTCTCGAAAACCTGAATCTGAACAATACAATTTAAGTTATTTTAACCATTATACAAAATAGACTACGCTGACCGGCGGCTATTGAAAGACTTTATGTTGATTTCCCAACCTCTATTTCCTAGTTCTGTTTAATGTATGTTTCCATGCCTTACTACTTAAATAAAATGTTTCTCACTGGGTATTTCTAAGGCTCTGTTTTTAGAAGCACTATAAAAGCTCTTTTCAAGGTAAAATGACTAAAAATTGTGCAAACAAATTACAAAATTTAGCCACCACCGACATCTTTTGAAACTCTTTCCTTCTTCAAACTCACTCAGAGTGTGGCTTGTCACTCACTTGTCCACCACTCACACACACACATCTTTAGCTGTACGAATATGAGTCAATTGCCCGGCTGCAACATGAATGACATAAAATGGAAGAAATAATAAACAAACCAAATACTAGCAACAACAGCAAAAACTTTATTTTTTTGTTATAGTATGTGTGTTTGAGAAAGTATCAGATGTCTAAAATTGTTTTGTTGCTTTTGCACAGCAACGCTGATTTTCAGCTGACTTTCTCGACGCTTGGGAAACTCTCTGTCTTGTAGACAGATAGTTAAGGGGGTGTGTAGAGGATTTTGTTGGAATATAAATATTTATATGGTCGTGTGAATGCTTTCTATGCTTCTGCTTGGAAACTTTTCAGATTTAACGAAATTCCACCAAAAAAATCTGATACGAAAGTTTAACTTTTAATTTGGTAAACTGAATTCGGTCAATATATGAAATTCTTTAGAAAAATATCAATTCTAAAATACGATATATTGAGTTTTAAAATTGCGTTTGGAAGCTATTTGAGTAATCTTCTCTCTTTTTTTGTACGTTATTAGATCAAATTTCACGATTAAAGACGCCCAAGGAGAACATGCAGCTTGTTCTATCAGATATAACGTGTCAAATATGTTGTGCTGCCTCATCTGTTTTTATCTGCAAGAGCTTTGTACAACAAAAACTGGTTTAATAATATCATTTTTAAACTTTCTATGAAGCAAATCTTGGTATGTTGTTTATAACTAAAGCACAAATACTAAACTTTCAAAGAACCCAACAGTGTTGGTTTAAAAATAGCTGTTTTGAGAGAGATCTAATATAAGAACCTAACAGTGAATAAAGAACATTTAGTAAGCCATTTAATACTAGTATTTCTGAAAGCTCCTAAAATGAGGAAAATGGAGGAGAACAATTCTCTAGGGGTAGATTAGAACTCCGTTAGAGCAATCATAAAGCAGAAAAAGGATATTTTCCTTTCTAATGCGTGAACAAGTAGTTGGAATCGAGGTGAGGTATAGTGATAGTGATGAGCTTAAAAAGAGCTATGAGCACTTATTATAAACTCTTTCTTCGCTTTTCAAGATAGACAATAAACATGTACGCAGAGTAGAGCTTACTTAAACACACATCTGTTTGAAAGACGCAAATTCAAATGAGTGTAACAACATAAATGCCGTCACGCCTCCTCACCCCTATACAACATACACAGCTGAAGAAGACAAGATGTATCAGATTGTAATTCGTGCATATATAGGTTTATGTACGATATGAAGTGTTTTATTTGAAAATATTATATTCGCATAAACAAACGGAAACCGGAAGCGGCAAATATGTCATCGAAACGGAAAGAAACTTTCCAGTTTATATCACATACAGCGTGCATGTGAGCCTTTTAGGGTGAATAATTTATAATTTATTGCCAAGCAAGGGAAAGAAATGTTAGAAGACGAAGAAAATTCCTTCGGGTTTAGCTTTTAGCTTGTCGATGTCCAATATATGTAATATTAATGCAGAAGAGATAAAAAATCTATCTGGCGACAGATGGTTGAAAATTTAAATTTTTCGAAAGAGTGCGGGGTAAAGTTATTGCCCAGTTTTATCAAAAATATCGGGAATGCATCGACAGTTCGAAAAAAAAAATAAAAGTAGTTTTAAAAAAAGTTTTTTTTTGATGCTAAAAGAAGCAGACAACAAAGAGGAAGACAGAACTCTTGGCAGGCTTACGTGCATGACTGACCGACTCCAATAAAAACTTCGTCTCTCCATGAGTGTCTTAAGGGCGCATTTTGTCAGCAGCTTAGTAGTGAAAGTATAGTGGGGAGTTATTGTTAAAAAAAAAAAAGATCGAAGGTTTGCAACACACCAATCGAAAAAGTTATCTAGAGGAAGGTGTTAAAAAATGATCTCGATAGTTACATTATTCAGGCGAATTGACTGGATCGAAATTAGGCGTCTGAATTTGTTTGTAAAATGATCAAAGAGCTTCAATACAACACAGTAGCTAGCAGCTATCAAAGAGTAGTCCCACAGCTATATGCAAATAAGTAAAGTTTCTTCAACCCTGTAGCCTAATTTTGATGCCAAATTGTTTTCTTGGAGGGCTAAAGCAATGATAGCCATACCACTGTAATCTTATTCTTGGAAAAGTGGCATAACCGGTAAGTTAATACAGAGCAAATTTTTTGAGACCAAAACTCACTTTTGCGACATTTCTGCCTCAATCTTCAATGTCTGACAGCTTTATATTCAGTTGTAGATTTGTAATTTCTTTGAAAAATACTTCCTTAGTAGTTCCCATTCAATTCTAAACCTCTTACTAGCGGTGCTTAAGTACCTTAGTAAGAAAAAAAACAAAAAAAAAAGCTTTGTAGTGCTTAAAAAAGCTCTCACACACTTCGAAGTAAAAGTGAATTCAAGTGTGCCAGCCATTTGCCTCCATAAATAAATATGCATTTGCTGACATGTATCTGCACACCACTGAGTGAAATGTGGTAAACATAAGCTCCAAATGCATAAGAATAATTTATGCTGCCTAAGTAGTATGTATGCTGTATGTAAGTAGTATGTATGTATGTATGTGTGCACTCACCTTGACCGGCGTGTAGGTCAATGTCGATCCTTGCGCTGAATGTGCACGGAAACCACTCTGCGGCATATCAAATGTCTCTGCCGTATTATTGAAGGACCATTTGAAATTTTCCGGTGGTGGAAATGCATCAACCTCACATAAAATCTCGGCGGCCTCATTACGCGCCACACCATAAATTTTCTTCTGATCCGGACGGCAAATGGGTTTGTCTGTAGAAAATATGACAAATAAACAAAAACATTGTGAAAAGATACATCTTTTTTACAACTATAACACATGAATAAAGTAACTATATAGCAGGCAATGTACAACTGTGTGTGTATGTAAAGAAGGTGATGCGGATTGTGGTTGCGTTCAAAATAGGAAGTGGTAAACCAGTGATGATCCGTTGAATAAAAGCACATATCTATATCATTTTATATATAAAGATGTATTTGTATATACTTTGAGGATATTTTCATACCGTTACCAGCTGGTGACCTGTAGCGACTAACACCTAACTACCGTTAAGCATAATCGCAGAATTATGAAAGCTTTTTGATGCTCGCGCGATGCTCTAAGTTAAAGTAAATAAATATCAGTGAAGTCTAAATGCTAACACAAAAGAGATTCTCTACAAATAGCGAACGGAATTTCAACGAAAATGCGATGTTAAAATCTCAGCAGTGACTTCTTTCGCTTTCGACCATTCGCGAGCTGCATACATGCCCAGAAAGTGAGTCAAGAAAGGCTTTAATATATTTATTTTTTCTTTATTCGAGATTTATTTTTCGTTTTTCGCTGTTTTATTTACCTCCAACTGCATTTTAACAATTTAATTCTTTTTGCTGGCGTTTCTTTAGTTATATTTCTCCATTTTGCTGGCAGAAATAAGGGCACTTTTAACGTTGGCATTTGTGTGCACACACAACAGCAATCGTCTGCAGGCGCATTTTTTGCATTGTTTACACAAAACATTGCAAGCAGCACTGGAAATACGTAGGCGCTTGTGTATGTATTTATGTGTTGATATGTACATACACCCACGTGCCCACAAGCTAACTGGGACTAATAAATTGTAGCTTAGCTTTGGGTAAAATTTTTCATAACATACTTTTACGCTGCGAAATGCCGCAATGCTTCTATATGTTGGTATGCATTAAATGTACAATTGTTGCTGTTTAGAAAAAAGACAATATTATTCGCGAAAATATTTTGCAGAAAACACAGTGACATCACTTTAAAGTATTAACTGCTCTATATGAGCTGGATATTTGTTAAGTTTACCCAGGAACTTTAAAAGAGGTCTTATCTTTTCATTGTATAAGTGTATATGTGAAGAGCATATTTAAATATTATTTTTTGTTTATAAATGTTTGTAATATCATCCTCAAAAGCTTGACAGAAGAAAGGAGCTTGTGAGCTTTACCTAAGCTTTAAATTTTCTTTTACATATTTCTTCTAATTTTCATCTTTTTGTACTCCAGATATGTTTGCTTGGTGAAAATACATACACCTAAGTACTTACAACGATTTGGTCCTAGCTTCATACGATTTTATATGGTTGGAGCTTTTTCAAGAATTATTTTAAGATTTCATTTACTTTGTTTTCTTTTTTGCTACATACATCGGTACTAATGTATATAATGTTCCGTAATTTTATTTTGAGTTGTATTTTTAAGAATCAGTTTCGATTTCTAAATTATATTTGAATAATAGCTATAAGTTTCAAACCAGTTATTCGTCAATGAAGCTTTGATTTACTATAAGCTCCGCTAAAATATTTCTTTATACTTAACACACATTAAATGGGTCGCAAATCGATGTCTTTCATGAAAGTTTTTAATATTAATGCCTAATTGAAAAGCTCTTTAATATGAAGAGTCTCTCTAAGCACATAGTTGTATTTAGTGCTTGATATTTAAGCTTTATTGCGAAAGCTCAATTTGTATTTCAAATATGGTGAACTTAAAAAATATTACGTACAGTTGCGAATTTTTGTATATCTCTATAAAATTTCGCCATAATTTGGAGTAACATTGTAAACAAAGTACAAAAATTTGAGACAGCAAAACTCTTCAGAGAGCTTCCATTAATAGTATGAATAAAGCTTTCGTACACATAAAATCTAATATTCCAGGGTGCGCTAAAGTTTTGTGCTTTCAATAATAAACTATTAGAGTGCTTATTAAAATAGTTATTATATTCAGCTTTCTTCTTTATTTGTGTTGTACAGCAGCGACTACACTCTTTGTATTTTAAAATGTATGTATGTAGGAACCTCATAATTGAGTTTATGGCGCATCATTAAAATAAACTCCAAGCGTTGACTACACTTTCTCCTCCTCTTACCCTGAGTTTATAAGTTGCTGTAAACGGCACTTCGACTAATAAATAATGCAATTTTCCATCAAAATTCCGGGTAAGCAGCGGAGGGAGATGGAGAGGGGCAAATATGCAAGCAAGTTCGTCAAAAAGGGATAGTGATGCAAGCAATAATAAAAACAATTTTATTAACTACAACTAAGTATTGGCAGAATAAGGCTTTCTCCACCACCGACATTACACTGCTCTGTAAATCCATAGCTCAGGAACTCACGAGCTTACCGTACCGCCCAGCTAGAGTTTACGGGCAAAAGTAGCCGGACTATCAAAGTGAGTTATGCTCGACACTAGAGTGTACATAATACGTAGCAAACATAAACGTGCATTGAGTGGTAATAGAAATGCCGTTGGAACAAGAGCAGCTTTTTACTCGGCTTTACACTGACTTTTTGTGTTATTTTTTGCTTTTATTTTGGCAGTAGTTGTTAATATTTGCAGTTTAGTTTATTACGGAAAAATAAATTTGTTATAATCCGTGGGCCAGATCAGTGGCGGGGGGAGAGAAGCAGGAAATAGTTCTAAATGCATCGATAGAGTAAGTAAGTAGTAAGCATAGCCATCCCCGTCCTGACTTCATTAAATCCTCTCGACACACACTCCCACACACAAAAAGTATCTGACGCAACTCATCGCCACATCTTTCACTCAGAAATAATAACACAGAGAAGTAAAGTCGAAAAGTTTAAATTTATAAGTTCGTTTACTCAGCTACTTTGAGTGTGTCCAGAAACTTTTTCTTTGCCCTCTAGTGCAACAAAAAGGGTAAAAATTCTAAGGAAAGCATAAACTTTTAATTTTTTTTTCTCGGCCAACGGGCAAACAACCGACGATAGCTCACATATATGTATGCAGACAGGCAAACTCTCACGCCCAAATCCGTCAGCCGTAGCTTTTTGTGTCGTTGGGTGAGTCATCTCACATTTAGAGTCTGAGTTTTGAGTTATAAAAGGTTTACATGACAAAAATGTTGCAGCTGCTTGCTACTTGTTAAGCTGAAAATCTAATTTTATTAAATATTTTCGTYGAAAATGTTCAAAGGAAGTTGTTGGAGAGGAGCAGTAGCTTGCAGAGGGAGCAATTCTGTGCTTAAAAATATGAAGCTAATCTGACATCTTAAAATAAAACGACAGTATTTTTGATTTTAGCGTTTAATTACTCACTGCAAATATGCAGAAACAATTTGCGACTGATGTACTTAGAGGTCTATGGGCTATCTGAGGTGTCCTGTTTACGAATTTGAGTTCAAAAATGGTTCATCACAAAGGAAACAGCGTCTAACATCAAAGTCCCAAAATGAGTGTAAACTAGTGTTTTTGAACATTTATAATGAAAGTCCCGGTCAAAAATTAAAAAATTCCTTATGGGATTAAGGGTGATCTAGTGCAAAAATATTTGCTCAGAATAAAAGCTAGAATGCGAACGGAAAAATAACTTAATTAAAAAAAGTAAGGAAGCGCCACGTTCGGGTACAACTGAACATTTCATACTCTTGCAACGTGCAAGGATTAAGACCAGGGGGTACCTTCAGGTACATAAGTCCTGTTAGTAGTATTTTGTCTTATTATCACCATATTATATGGGTCTCTACCGTAACTTGTAAGTCCAACAATTACTTACAGCTTATGCTTCCGAGTGTCAAGTGTTTACTTAAACTTTTATGAAAAAAATTAAAATAGTTAGCTTAGCTAAAATCAACTTAAGCTGCCAGCCGAAAGCCTTTGATGCTAGCGCTGAGTACTTTAGTTTATTTAATAATTTGTTTATTATGTAAGCTTTAATAAAATAAAATAAAATAAAATAAAATAAAATAAAAAATAAAACTTAAGCTGCTTTAAAATACTGTCTCATATCAAAGAATAAACCCAACAATAATCTCTCTAGCAACAAACAACAATTAATAGAAACTAAAATTCCAGCGGTAGCGAGCAGATGGCTGCACCAAGTTATAATAACATACACGAGTGTTTACGAAAAATAAAAGAAATCTCCTGCTTCAATTTCTCCCTCAGCATTCATTTAGATACCCAGCGCTACAATTGTCTCCACGGTTCTCCACTGCTGACACAGAACTCTCGCTTCATTTCGCGTTGCTCAGCAACATTTTTCGCTTAGCGCTTTCGGCATTCTTTGCCTTTGGCAAAACTTTAAAAGTAGGAATCTGGGTTTCTGGGAAAACTATGAGCACTATTTGAAGTCCCGAACCGAAGTAGAGCAAGGAAATGCGCATATATGTTTGTTTTGCTTTGTGCCAAAGGAAAGATGCTTTTCTCTTGACTTTTCACTTACTACAACAAAACAAAAAGTGGCACAGCATTTATACATATATATGAAGCATATAAATCTAAGAAATGCAGTAGAGATTGTGACCAGCAGGAAAACAAACCAGTTTCGAGTTAGTTAGATTTGGTTGTACTTTGTTACATCATTTAGATCAATTAGTAATATATGAAAGAATAAAAAGGAAGGTGTATTTCACAACTCATTTATGTAATTAATGGAGAGCTCCATAAATAAACCATAAAGTTTCCAAAGCGTCACATTAGATTATATTTATATTTTTATCCTTTGTATTTGTATATCCGTGTTGTTTACTTACACATCACTTTTAGCTCCACAACGTTGCTATCACCGTCGCCCTCAACATTCGAAGCCGTGCAGGTGTAGTTGCCCGCTTGATGCCGAGTCACGCCCTGCAACGCCAAATCGCCACTACTCACAATGACGCCAGCGCGTTGATTGTGTTGAATGATTTGATTCTGAAAAGGATGAAGCACTCAATTAATGCGAAACATATAACTTATTTAAAAATATTAAATTCCGTTCATTAATGGTATCATAATTGTGTATAAGCAGAGTTATAATTCTAAATCTATGCGTGGATTTTATATTAATGGGTATGAAACGTAAGACCAATAACACCAATATCCTTTCAAATTATTCAGCAAATTTGCACACTTTAACTAATAATATACGAAATATACCCTAAAGTGAAATCTAACTTCTTTCGTATTAATAATCATCGAGCACGTCGCTGCCAAAGCAAGCAAATTTTAGTATTCTTTTGTGGCAGAAATACCCATATTCAAACCTATATACTCAGCAGGATAAGCTTAACAAAACGACCTCAACATTAGATCAGATTCATACGACCACTTATAAAAATTATTCACACATTTTCCGTTTGTTAAACAATAACGTAAGGCCGATATTACATTTTCGGTATAATCGAATTCCTTGGCTTCAATTGGCTCAACGATCAGAATTCAATCTAAGCCGCCACTGAATTTGCCTACAGGGTATTTGTGCACACACATCGGTATAAATATAGATGAATAATGCGTTTGCCACCATTGTTTTTATAACAATACAGAATTCTAAACAAATGAAGCAGTTATCCGCAAAATAGTTGACGCGCTATTATTTGTATTTATCACAAATGTCTCACGTGCCACATGGCACACAAGCACAGCAGAGTGAGTATATAGCTTAAGCAAACAATACATAGCTCCCCACATACGTTCACTTATGCAATTCATTTTTAATAAGTACATATGTGTGTGTATGCGCGCCAAATGCCAACATTATGTGCTACGTTGTGCTAGGCTAAAGCTGTAATAATCTCACTTCGTTGCGTGCTTTCAGGCGACTATTGTATATTTTAGATACGTTGTGTTTTTTTTTTTTTTTTTTTTTTTGTTTGCTTGCGTTCTTTTGTAGATCGAGCGTTTGTTTGCTTATTTCGCTCACTTTTCATTTCTACTCGTGCATTTGCCGGCGTGTGAATGTAGTATTTCATGATGTTTGCTTTTATGTGCTTTTGTATGAGCGTGTAAATGCGTGTAAAAGTGTGAATGCATGCGTGCTCATCATTTCATAAACTATGTCAAAGTCATGCATTGTCACCGCTAATAAAGTTCAATTCTATGGCGTGCATTTATTATTATTTGCTTATTTGCCTATTTTACTATTTCTTATTTCACGCTGACTGTCACATTTTATGCTTTTGTTCGAGCGAGTTTAACTGTAGCATTTTTATTTGTAGCGCGAAGGATAGAATACAAATATATAATTACTTTATATAATGTAAGGCTCATTCTTCATGATTTTTAAGATTAATAATCAAATTTTCTTCTTGGGAAGCAGTATCGCACCTCTACATATATTTCTGCTTTGAAAACGCTTCTTATGATACACTTGGTGTCACTACTATAGTTTGCTTCCTTCCTTTATACTGAAGTCAACCTAGTTAACCTAAGGGAGATACATAGTATGTATGTTATATAAATTCTACTCAAAAAGTTAATTTTGAAATATTGAGCAAACGTGGAAAATATCAACCGAAGAGTCGCAAATCATTATTTTTGGCATATGAGGTTAAGACGATTTCACTCTTTTTGTAGTTAACAGTTATTTATTTTCATTTTCTTTCACCTTCGTACCAAACTTTGTCTTCGAACAGATGAACCAGAAAACTCGACATTTCTCAGAAACAAAATTGGTCAAAATGGTAATTTCTCTGTATTCTTTTTGAAAACATAAGTTGAAGTCTGTCTAACTAATGCTCTTTTTCTTCTCTTTGTAAAGGATAATCTAGACTCCCCGTTTGGTAGCATGATTCCAATGAAAAGACACATGCTCTATGTTAGCACTTAAGCAATAATTTATCATAGAAAGCGTTGGTTGTGGTGACATTTTGTAAAGAAAAAACAAATGATACTTTACCGAAAGGCGAATTTGTTTAAAAGCCATCAGCAACTTGACTATAGATCAGCAGAAAGCGGATTCTTATTACTTATTAAACCGTCAATGAAGACCTACGAAGCATTTTTTTAATGAAGTTGGAAGTTTCTTGGACCTTGGGAGCTTAAACCATATAATTGTAACGGTAGTTGGACCTTTTTTCCCCAATACTTCCATGGCTACTCGGTGAGGCTTACTTAGCTCCACGCTAATGCCGACAGTTTCAGCCGAACCAATGCACTCTCTTATGAAATTCCTCCACTTACACAAGTAAAGTTAACAAAATTGGTTATCAGCATATTACATAAAAGCATGTGCCATCATTTAACCATCCAATTTGCTAGTTAGCTTATTAATAAAAATTTTCTTTTTACATTTTTTTTCCAACTTTAATATTTGAGAAGCTCACACGGATGTATGTGTGTGTGTGTGTGTCCTCTTCTTCTCGGTGCTTAACTAAATTAACATGCCGTTGACATGCCGACATTGTTAGTAGTGTCACAATGTCGTAGAATTTGTTTGAGTTGAGTCTAACAAGTTTAACTAACTGCCACGGCTGCCACCTTTTTAATTAAATATTCATGCTGCACAATTAACGTGCACGCAAATTAAATTAACAATTAGTTTGATCAAAATTGTCAGCACATACAACGTGCATACACACATACACATATGCCTTGCCATGTATATAGATTTATACATACATACATATTTACACATCTATGTGTGTGAATGTGTAGGTAAGAGTGCACGTATGAGTTTTAATGCGCGTGTGAAATTTTGGTGTTGCCAACACACTCTCGCTTCTGCATAAACAAATGAAAAGTTTAGTGGATCCGGCAGCACAGTTGTGTACAAATACATGTAGTATTCTTTTGTCTATTTGTATTTATATTTCGTGCAAATATTTTCAAGATAAAGTCGGGTGTGAAAAGCTGTGTGGAACTACTAAATATTTGCAAAGGCGACGTTCGTTAGTGAGTTCTAATTAGGCATCTATTAGCGACATAAACTAGGCAATTTGCATACTTTAAACAAATTGTATTAAATAATAATAATTAATAAGAAACTTATTATATTTAAAAAATTATARAAGAATATAATTAGTATGGTATTCGTGTGACCTTACTTAAATAATATTCAATTAGAATTTATTTTAGAAGTTTCTTACAACAATAAATGTTGACTGAAAATAAATTATTTTGATCCACGGCATCAGTCAGACATATTCAATAATCTCACAGTCATTGAAAAAACAATATCATATTTTTTCATTGTGTTGAAAGTGTCAAATCAAGTAATGATTTTTAGAAAGCATTTACTTCTTGTTTGCAGTTAAGGAAAATTGCTGCAGAGTTGCATCGAATGCTCGTCGAGGCACATACAGATCATGCTCCATTAGAAAAAATGAAAAATGGATTTATGTTAAGGATTCTAATGTTAAAAAATCTTGAATACATCAGGGGCAATCATCAACATCGACTGCAAAAGCAAGCCGATTCGTTAAGCAGGCAATACTCTACGTTGCTGGGAACGTGTGGTGTGGTGTGGTGTGTTAAGAACTTCTAAACCCTGTTGAAACTGTTAATACAAATCGCTACATAGAACAAATTATCAAATTGAACCATGCATTGATTGAAAAACGATCGTAATGATACAGAAGATACGGCAAAGTAATTTTATTACGCGACAAAGCACTTGCACACATGGCAAGATTGGCTCAAGATTCAATCAAAGTACTTGGCTGGGAGCTGCTACCCGTCCGCCGTATTCACCACGGCACCACCTTGCGATTACCATTTGTTTTCATCAATGGAGCATGAGCAGCACTCCGATTCCTACGCAGGAGTTGAAATTTGGTGTCTGATTCGTTTGCTTTAACAGACGAAAATTTCTATTGGCATGATATCCACAAATTTGCTAAAAAGGTGGTCAAGATATGCAAAAACCAATGGCTATAATTGAATAACTTTGTTTTTACTTTTCTTTTCATAATTAGCATTAGCGGTATACTTAAATACTATAATGCATATACATATATAATATAAATGATAAGCTGCCTCCGATATCATTCAACTATAGCGTACAGCTGCCGCACAAACTGAACGGCCGGAATCAAGTGCTGGTATGGAATTATGTTTAATATGAAGTGGTATCTTCAAAAATTTTTAACAAAATATTTTACAAGGCACTATTACGATTTCCAAACATATTCTTCAGATCGAACCACTCTAGCTTCTCTCATCTAAGTTGATCAGAATAAGTATCTTTTTAAGCCCTTTTTACCCTGTAAGAAATACAAATAAATTTAATATGTGTTGCATTCAACTTCATTTAGTTGAATTTGTTTAATTTCGAAACGATTCACACACACACAGAACACAGAACTACCTCTTTCAAGCATTTTAAATTTGAAGCAGTGCTCGTTCAGCTACACCAAACTTAATTGCGGTGCGACCATAGTGGCCTGCTTGCCTTGCTATACTATGCATACGTACTTCATTCTGTCACGCCAGCGCCACATCTTTTCAATTTTTCATTGCACTTCATTTCGAGTAAGCCATTAGGGAAAGAGTGTTTAGTGGTTTGGCGTGGGAAAACCAAAGGTGGCGCATTTAAAAGTGCTGTCATTTACAAAATTAGCTGGCACTAATTGCGTGGCGACCGACACTGGCTGCGAAACAGTTTTTTGCACTTATACTTATAATTTGTCTTACATAAAAATCGGTCATTGCTATGTAGTAAGGCTTTGCTAAGGTGAAATAATATAATTGCATAAATAAGTGCTTACTTTGAAAAGGTATTTTATGTTGTTTAAGAACCTTGGAAAACTAGCTTGAAGCTTAGATGCAGTTTTGCAGATTTAAAATTAGAACGATAAAAACATTTCAATATAAGAACAATAAAAGCTTCTGAACCTACCACAATATTGGTCATGTTAATTTCTGTGAGTAAATAAACGCCATGGAACCTCACTATACAATTGAAAAGTGTAGAAATTAAAATTATAAAATCGTACGTTGTCTGTATATTTCTATAGAAGACAACTTTAAAAGTGACCGCAATAAACGAAACCAGCTAAGTGACCCTGACCGCATTTCGTAATGAAATTGTCTTGTAGCACACTAATTGCAGGGTATACTTTTGTGCGCGCCCATTTGCACAGTCGCTCGTTTTTATTTATTTGCTTAGTTACATTTCAACGAACGCATTATGTCAAGTGGCGGTGGCAAGTTTAAACAGATGAACACAATGTGAAGCTGACAGCAAGATAACCCCACGAAACACCGAACAGCGGCAGCGAGAAAGCACTAAGGCATGGTCTAGATATGTAGTTGCGCTAAAAGAGAAGAGAAGCATGCTTTGTTCTAGACGCACAAGAGATTTCGCTTATCAGTTTTTCTTTTCTTTAGAAAAAGAGTGCCAAGCAGTCAAAACAGCTTTAGTGGCGTATTTTGCGGGGACTTAACGGAACTTCTAAATATTTTTTATTTTTTAATTTTTTTTTTTGGTATTGCACTTATTTTACATGTGAATGCTTTAAATGCGTTAATTAAATCATTTAAGGTTGCTGGTATTTTTTGGAACAAATAACTATCAACTTAGGMGTACTTCCTTCTTTTTGATTTTGATTTTGATTTTTTTCAAGACCACTAAAGCTACAATAGCCAAATTCACTCAGGATAAATGTTTTCAAACTTCCGGGTAATTTTAAACCRCATATGTGTGTCTACTCATAAAAACTTATCTTTCTGCCTAAAACAGATAAAATTTGGCGAAAACTTGACCAAGCTYCCAACTAATTAGCAGGCCTTATGTACCCGAAGTTACTTCCTTGCCTTGATCCTTGCAAGTTGCAAGAGTATGAAGTGTTTGGTTACGTCTGAATTCAGCCCTTCCTTATTCGTTTTTAATTAAAATCATCACTTMTTCCTCCGTTATCAATGCAATTAAATTTCTATTATGTTTAATAAAATTTAGCCCTGCAGTAATATGCACAAAATTTTATCACTTAGTCAGTGATTTATAATAATACGTCTGCTTGCATGCATCAGCAATGCAATCAGTAACAACAGCAAACAAATTTATCTGAGAATTAAATGCGTTACTTCAAAGTAAAAATTAATTCGATTTCAAAGCTATCGGTCAATTTACTTCAGCCTGAATATGAATTTAACAAGCACATATCGTTACCTAAACTACAAAATAACGTAACATCACTTTTCATAAGTTTACAGRGGAAGAAAAAACGATAGAATAGAAGCAAAATTTGAGCGAAAGCTGAAAATATTTGTAACAAGGTGTAGTGAATAGTAAGCAATAAAAAAAAAAACGATTTAAATTTTTTGGTGATACGTTGTTTGGTATTTTTGGTGTCGATATGGATTTATATGGTTAAAGCTACTGCCGAGTGTGTTATTATGTTGGTTGCATAAATGGAATTGAGGAGCAACAAGTTCTTGAAGGATATTTCGAAACAGTCTGCACTAGAGTAGTTAGTTCTAATAATAAGCGGCCTAAAATTGTTTTATCTAAATTTAAACTCCAATATTAATTAAACATTTCTATATAATGTTTTATAAATTTTCAATTATTATTTTCCATGAATAGTAAGCCTACATTAATTGTAATTTGTTACTGATGTATGTATGTCTTTATGCATATGCAGTTTTATATAATTTTTWAATATATTTTCTTARAATACTCACATTATGCTTCCACACAACTTTGTAAGCTGCCGGATTCGCATGCACTTTGCACTCGAAATAGACATCATCGCCTTCTTCAATGTCTTCCGGATTCAAATTCGARCCCAAGTCCAGCTGCAGCGTTGGTATAACTGCAAGTAAAGATATGTAAAGCTAAAATTAAAAAGATTTTCTTGAAAAAAGTTAACGGAAACTCAACTTACTAACTAAGCCCTGCGGTTACAAATCAAAGGAAATTTAATTTAAAGCTTCACTATTTATTATATGTATGTATGTCTATACCAAATATATAATATATAGATATGCTTTATATATATCTGTATGTATGTTTGTATATATGCATATGTTCTTGTGTGTTTCACTTATTTGAAAAAGATGTGTATAAGAGACAGTGCTTTATATATATCTGTATGTATGTTTGTATATATGYATATGYTCTTGTGTGWTTCACTTATTTGAAAATWCATGAAACTGTCAATCCTTTAACTCAATCCTAATTGGCTTATGGTTTCAATCATGCATATCGATTTTCTTTGGCACTACCAGATTTGTTGCTACAATGTTTAATTGCAGCAGCAAGTGTGTGAATGTAGTGGCAATATGTAGATAAAATCAATGTCAAAAGAAATACAAAGTTGTTATAGTTGTTTTGTTGATGAAATGCAGTTCAAAGTGAAACTTTATTACTAGGCAATATTTGGAAAAGTATTTTATTATTGCTTTTCTGCTATTATTTGCTGCAGAATACAAAACGATTACAGTAAATGTGTCTACTTGCTATTTATACAAGCAATGTTGCAACAAAATTTATTTGTATTATGTTTCATATATTTCCATTGTTTGATTGTGGTTTTAGAGTCTGGAGAATAAGTATGATTCAATTTAAGGTTATAAAATCGCAAAGTTTTGTTTTATCTTGAAAGATTTTTGAAGTTTTTTCTTCTGCAGTTTTAAAAAACATGTTTATGCCAATTATATGCAGTGTAAAGCAGATCGCACCTAAGCAAGTTCCCAATCGACCAATTCACCAAAGCAATTGAAAATGAAAAACTTAAATTTTGCTATGCTKCTAAACACCACTGCTTCTGTCAGGCCTGCAGCAGCGTTGTTCAGCTCTCAAAACTCAAGAGAGAATGCGGAAATGGCCATTGGTTGAAGACTATTTTCAATCGTACTACAAAACTGGTCTGAAAAAGTGGGGTGATCGCTACAATAATATATAAAAATTTTCTGAAACTTTTCCTTACTTAGAACAATAGGACAAAAGTAGAATTAAAGACATGAAAAGCAAAAAAAATTTTTAAAAGATTTATATTACATATAATATAAATTCTTCGATTTTTCGAAATAATGTACATGTAAGGCCATTTCATCGTATGAAAATTAATTTTCCAATACAATTTTTATAAAACTCAACAACGACTGATTGCCTGTTGTGTGCTAGTTCATTTCGAAGAGCATAGTCTTGCAACCTACTCGTATCACAATCGGCGGCTTACGTGCGTCTGAATGGCACCGTTTTCTATACAAATATTTTTGTTTCATTTTTGCTTTCGTGTCTTTGCGTTTCGGCTCACTACAGTTTCACCAGCACCTTGGAGTATGTGTAATACGGAATGTTCATGTAAATGAGCAAGGAAATTGAAAATGTTATCTAATTTAATATCTTCGAAGACAAGGCAGGCGAGTTGTCGCAGTGAGCAAGCATAGTTTACAGATGCTTATGAACGCTCACACACAAGCAGCGGGCACACGCATGCTCTGCGCACAACGGCACGTGGTGGCATGCAGTGGTTATGTTTTGGTCGTGTGCGGGTGTGCAAAGAATGAAGTGTGAAAGTGCCAAAAAGTATGTTATAATAAACGAAGCGATTTTTTAAACAAAACATTGCAYTTGTGATACGTAAAATTCACAGCTATCTATACAATAAGGAGCAGCTTTGGCTGTCGCTATATAATTTGGTAGATATTTTTTTAGAGTTTTTTTCATGATTCATTGTTATTGCTTCATATGTGGGCGGCGAAATACTCGTAGTATAACGAAAACAWTCGATTTAAGTGATAACGGCAAGTCGTCGAGTAAAGGGTGCTTTCGAAAGTGTGAAACGCTTCTTTTTTTTTTTACTTTCTTCGTTTAATGACTTTCTTCGTCATCAACAGTTTGTAGCTAAGAGTAGGCACACATACACGCATGGAGCGAAAAAGTGCCTGAAAACGTATGTATATGTATCACTTTAACAAGCTCTTTGTGCCCCGCGAAGCTTGTGTGTACATACATTTATACTATAAATATACTAGTACGTTTAATAGTGTCTATTTTTCTTTGGCTCTATGTTGCTCGTATGCTTTTATAACGTTTGGTGCGTCTTAGACAATCTAGCTTTTTTGCACATATTCCGCTCGTATGTTGTTTGCCAACGTCGCTGTTTTGAGTTTCTGTATKTTTGCTTTGTTTGGCTTTCAGATTTTTTCATTGTTAGYAAAGCAACGACGCGGCTGCGCCATAACAATGCATTTTATAGGCAATCAAGTTGAGTGCTTCATCTCTCTTAYGCATATTTACATATATATTTTTATATGGATTTTGTCTTTGTATCACAAAATTTGGCAAAGCATCATTATGGCTTACTTAAATGTGTGTACGTATGTATGTCGTTGAGAAAATAATAATATCTGCTTGCATGTGTAAATATGTGAACATGCATGTATGTGGAATAAGTAGAATGCAAATTTTGGAAAGAGATTTGAATATAAACTTTTGTGGTGAAAAATTTTCGAAGTCGTTTCTAAGGTAAATATTATAGAGAAATTTGTATGTATATGTAATTGTTTCCAACACCGGTACTATATACTCATAAAAAAATTTAAAATTTTAAACAGTATCAATGCTACTTACAGAATACATTCAGTTTCATCGCCGTCTCACGTATGCCGCTGCGCACCAGCTCATTCGTCGCTCGACAGGACAACGCTTTGCCATGATCGGCACGTGTCGGTGTAATGCTGAGTACGGAAAGGCTGACATTGCCATCTTCCGAAACCTTTAAAGAATACGAAAACACAACGAAAAATGTTCATTACAAAGTAAAACAAAGGCATTATTTATTTTGCAGTAATTTATTTTTTTTACAAATTTTCAAAAAAACAAATTTGCAATATATCGGAAAGGGCCAAGTGCAGAATTTCACTTCGGAATCTCAAAAGCTGAGGGCAGAAAGACCGATTATTTTAGGGTAAAATATATTATTTGTGATCTAATTAAAAGCTACTACATTGCAATTTATTTAATATTAATAATATAATAATATTTTTACGTTATTATTTGAGTAGATTACTTTTTAATGGTTTGCCTTTTCAGCAGCAGTTTATTTAAAATAAATATATTTTTAGTACCATGATAGCTAATAATATGCTGAACATTTATGTTAATTGCTTTCTCATTTACTTAACAACAGTAATAGTCACCATTAGTATTAAACTCGCTGTTTGGTTTCGAAAAATACTTTTATTTACCTTCTGACTGTGCCCCAACAGCTCCATATTTCCCATCCACCAAGTAATTTTGGATGGCGGTCTCGAGCCGATGGCTTGACATTCTATTTCGTATTTCCGATCAGCAGACATCGGTTGATTATTGAAGGAAATCTCAACCATTAGCGGYCGCACTGCAATTATAATGAGATTAAAGAAATATTTCAATAAAAATAATTTAGAAGAATTTGTGGTTATAATAAAAAATATAATGTTGATATATTCTGCATTCGCTAATTCTGACTGTCTTATTGTAAGTTATAAATATTTGTAATTGAAGATATCAAAAGAGCCATTCACGAGTTTTGAGCTTTGTAGAAATTTTCGTTAAACCGTTTATGATTTTTTAATGTTTTTTTTGGATATAACCAGGCCAAGGTCTAAACGTCATATCCATCTTGTAATGATTGTAAATGTGTTGAATTTTTCTGATATCGCCAATATAWWAAATTAAGCCTCTTTGCTTGAGTCTAAAAGACATATACAGTAATTGAGTTTATTAAGTAGATTTCGAAATAAATTATTATTTCTTATACGAACAAAAATGTGAAAACGAAAAAAGTTAGTATATAACCTATATTCCTAAAGTTATATGCTATCATATACATATGTATAATAATATTTACGTAACATTTTTGGCAACAATGTTTTGTCAAAAACATACAGACAGTGGTCKTGAGGACATAARTGACGATCACCATGTAGGCCAATCAAAATCAGTGAAATTAAATAGAATTTCATCATCAAAAATTAGCCGAAATCAACATTGAAATTCATGGAAATGGAATTTAACATCTTCAAAAGGCCATTCGGAAGGCTTGCACCGGCATACTGGCGGCCATACCGGACAATGAACACTTGTTCGACRTGCTTTTGGACCGTGCAAAAAGCTGTATTGAAGCAGAAGGAGRCTATTTTGAATAAAWTRWAWTGATTTTGCCGAGAAAACCATTTGCTCCGTTTGTTTTACTTCTGTTTCATTTAAATTTTTGTGGCAACGCTCAATGATCTGCTTAAGTAAATCAGAGCAGGCGTAGCGGCGCCGATTTCTTGGAATTTYACCTACATATGGAGAGCCTGATAAAGGCGGTTTGCCTTTTTCAAATTCAGTTAATTAAATGAAGGATTAAAGTGCAGTAATTGCTTCTTTTAGCGCATTATTATTACGAATTTCTTCATTATAACACATTATAACCGCGCGCAAAGCAGTTTGAGATAGCACAGTATAAAGTAGCGTAAAGCAGTGTCCGCAAAAAATTAACGCTGTTTTTAAATTTGTCGCAGTTGGTAGCATGATAAAGCTGTATACGTAAAACAAGGGATATATATTATGCTTGGCGTTAATTTATTTCGTTTTTTACTCGATATTTATCCCCCATTAATTTATAAGCTTATACTTCAATAAGTAAATAGTATTATTTGTGTTGCGTTAAAATCTCGACATTGTTGCTATTAATTGTGGCGTAACAAAAATAATAACAAAGGCTGAAGTGAGCACTTTAATCCACGTTATAAAAAATGTCATGGCATACCATGGCGCCGGTGCCGGTGGTGCTATTGTGCGCTTGCTCACAGCACGCAGTTGATTGGCGAAATGTTTAAAACAAAAGCGTTAAACAGTTGGAATATTTTCCGATGCAAATGCATTCCAATAAATGCCTTCAGTTTTGGAATATATTACAAATAAAGTGTTCTTCTACGCTGGATACTTAAATGTACATGCGTAGGGTGTAAAGCAGTGAGGTGTGAATTGCGGCCTAAAAACCGCCTGTGTGTGTCGGCACCGGCTATGATCTTGGTTCTGCTCGCATACATGCAACAAATTGAGATTAACGGTTTCGTAGGGTAAGTATAATGCTAATTTGATAAATGACCGCCGTGTAACCGCTGAAAATTTGTTAACGATGACAGGTGTAGCGTTTCACTGGACACATGGAAGTGGAGTTGCAAGTAAAAATGTTATAAAATATCAAGCATAGCTTAACAAATGAATAAATCGAAAATGAGCAGAAGTACCACGTACTTTTCATTATGTATTTATTTGTTTTAAAATTCTTGAATATTTTACTTAATTGAATAGGAAAGCAATTTTATTGGTATTTGGTGTTAACCAAGGTACTTATAAAACTGAGAATACTACAAATTATTTGCATTGAAAGAAGTTCACTTAAAAAATTTTAAAAGTAGTCGCTAAATAGACTTATTATTTTATTATTTAATATGTTTTATTACTTAATATGATTGTCACTATAAATTGCGTTAATTGTATTAATTAAAGCTTAAGAACAGAAAAGATAAGAAAATTATATGAMAAAATTTTAACTTTGGTTGCAMCTAAGCTATAATACCCTTCACAAATACAAACAAAGCTTGTATGGTAGCTAAATGTAATGTTGACTCAAGCTGACAATATTTTTCGAAGATTCCATCATTGCCCTGAGCAATAATACGTGCAAAATTTCGTGAATATATCTCCTCAAATGAAAATAGTTTCCATACAAGTACTTTATATTCATCCTTATGATTGTATGACAGCTATATCCGATCTGCACAACTATTTTTTTTA